TAAGGATAAAAATTCTCAAGCCTTCTATCATAGGAATGTTTGTTTCAAATTTTGAGATCAATTTCTCTTTGTACATTTCCCTCATTCCTACTCATCCATTATTTTCCCCTCAATCACCTCCCTCATTTCTCAACCTTTACTTTTTTTCTCAAGCCTCATTTCTCTATGGGGTTCAAAATTGAATTCAAGTTCATTAACAATGCAACTCATGGAAGTATAAAATCAAGAACTGAATAACTATGAATTAAAACATGAGGAATAAAGATTCAAATTGAAATATGAAAGGAGTTTGGAAAATGCAAATGAAAGACACATTTTATTCCAAAATGATAGCAATAGGGAAAAGACTCCATTGGTCACTTATTCAAACCTTCAAATCTTGAATCTTATGCTTCAAAGTTAGACAACTTTCTATATCATGACCAATGGTCCCACTATGATAATCACATTTGTCTTGTGGATCATACCAAAATGGCAAAGGATTAGGAGGCTTGTTTACAAGGATTGGAGTCAATTTCCCCAAGCACTACCATTTGATTGAATATTTTTGAATATGATAATGATAGGGGATCAAAATATCAATTCTTCCTTCCTTGATTTTGAAATGCTTCTCCAAGTTGATATGCAATAGAATTCACTATTTGTATGTCATTCTCTTTTTCATCCTTCTCACTTTGGTTGACTCTTTTCATGTGAGTCAAATTATCCAATTCCAATAATTTACTATTTTGATGTTGCTCAAGAATATCCTTTATAGCTTGGTAATCGAGGATAACACCAGATTTGATTCCATCCTTACCTTGTTCTCCCCTAACAACCAACTCAGCAAAAGTGTAATTGACACAAGTCATTAACTTCTCACGATAAGGCCCTTTGGTTGACTTAATGAATAAATTACTCAATATATGATCAATTAGTGGCAGTTGAACTCGAGTAACCAATCCACACCATCTCTGAGCAAATTCTTTAAAACTCTTACTTAATTTCTTTTATATCTTTTGAAGATCTTCTCTACTAGGTGCTAATGATGTATTGTATTCATATTGCTTCATGAAATTGTAAGTCAAATCATGCCAACTCTTGAACCTACTTTTGTCTAAAGTTGAGAACCAGGCAACTGCTAGACTTGTCAGATTGTCCTAAAAGCAATGTATCATTAGCTTCTTGTTATTGGCATAAGGAGCCATCTTACAATAATACATTGTCAGGTGAGCATAAGGACAACGAGTTCCATTGTTCTTATCAAATTTAGGCAATTTGAACTTATGTGACAGTTGACTATTAGGGAAAAAGCACAAATATGAGATGTCCACCAGTTTATTGGTTTGGACACCTTGCATCGATTTTAGTGTTTCCTTCATCAACTGCACCTTTGCTTTTATTACCTTGTCTTCATCCTCTGTGATTGATTTAACCACTTGAGTCCTAACTTGATCATTTTCATTAGTTTGTGTTGTAGCAATGTGAGCATTTAGAAAAGTTGGGACAAGTGGTTTTGTTCCAAAAGCTCTAACAATAGTCGAATTTGTAAGGCTGGATAACATTGGCTCTTTTCCAGGAATTAAAGTAGATGTGGTTGTGGAGATATTTGCCATAGAAGCATTTCCTTCAAACAAGGGATTTGTTGTTGAAGGCACCCTTGCGACTAAGGTTGCTTGCAGAGATTGCAAAGAAACCATCGATTCTTTCAGAGTGTTCTCTATGTTTTCAACTCGATTTTCATGAGTTCCCTTCTTTAAATTAGCTTCGTCAACCATCTTCTTTGCAAGAGCTTTACACTACTTGAAACAACTTTAATTTAGATCGAAAAATTGGTTTGAAAATAGGGAAAATTGGTCTGAAAATAAATATTCAAACCATTACTAATTCGGATAGTTGGTCTGGAAAAACTCAATCTGAATAACTTTATATTCAGACCGATAGAATATCGGTCTAAATATAAATAATTTTCAAACTGAAGTTGGTCGGAATAATAGTTGAAATTTTGACCTCCCAGAGCTTCAACCAGACCGAAAGCAGTCTGAACACATAATTTTTGAACCGTTAGTGGTTTGAATATATAAAACATTTCAGACCGACAATGGTCTGAAAAATAGTGGCCTTATTTGCGAAACCAAAAAGATATGATCTTAATTTAGATATACTTTGAAAACTTGTTTAGACCGAAAATGTTCTAAAAAATAATGGACTTATTTAGAAGAGTAAAAAATATTTGGTATCTATGTGTCACTATGTTGAAAGAAATTTCAGACCAACTTTGGTTTGAAAATGTCTGGCCTTATTTAGGTAAATAAAAAGTTTGGTATCTTGTGTCACTATGTGGAAACTAGTTTCAAACCATCTTTGGTTCGAAAAATGTGGCCTTGTTTAGAGGAATGAAAACTTTTGGTCCCTATGTGTCATTATGCTGAATCTATTTTCAAACCATAGTTGGTTTGAAATATAACAACATGACAGAAAAAAAAAATCTTTCATTAATACTTACATGTCTAAAAAATTTCTAAAAAAATAATTTTTCTCTATAAGCATTCTAAAAATTAAAAATAATATATTACATATTAAATAATGTTTACATGTATAACACTTCTTAAATTATAATCAAAACATACAACATATAATAAGTTACAATTAAATCACCAACTTTATCATTGAAATTATAAATAAATAATAAAACATAAACCTAAATATAATTCCAAGGCAAATTAATAAAAATCTATAATGTATATTACAAATAACATAAAAAGTAATACTCAAACCAATTTTTTTACCTTGTAAATTTAATCATTTCCTACAAAAATAAATAAAATGGAATTAGTAAGATAAAATCAAAATAGAAAAAACATTAATGGAAAACAAATATATATATATATATAGAAGTAAAATTTAATATTTACCCAATGTATCATAATAACCTACAAAAAAAAAAAACATGTTAGTAAAACAGGAGAAAATAAAATTAAATCCAATAAATATCATAAATTAGGAAAAATAAAAATTTAACAACATGGATACGAAAAATATATTTAAGTAGTATAAAGAAAAATGGAAGAAATAAGCTTATATCCAAGTTAGCGTTTGAAAATTTTACTGAACAATGGAAGGGAACAATACAAGAAGAAAGCGGAAGAGTTGAGAAAGGTGATAAGAAAAAGGGAACAAAGGGATAGGAAGAGAAGGGCAACAAAGAGATGAGGGAAAGAAGAGGAAATAGGAGAATCAGAGAAAGAATAGAGAGGAACCAAAGAGAAAACGAGGAAGGGGAGAAAGAAAGCTAAGAAAAGGCATAAAACAAAATTTTGTGGAAGAGGCAGCAAACGAACTAACATATAGGAAAATATATTTCAGACCGTAAATGGTCCGAAATATAGTCAATTAACTGCTACTGCGCGTGACAAGACATTCAAAAGTCACTAAACTTTTTGGCGGTTTGTTATTTCAGACCGACAGGTCCGGATAATGTCAAAAAAAAAATTCCAGCGTTAAAACATTTTTGGCAAAAAGGATAGTAAATTTATTCGGACCAACTTTGGTCTGTATACATATCAAATGAAAAAGACATGAATCAACCAAAAAAAAAAAAGATATAAAATATTTTAAAAACAGAATGATTAAATATTTGGACCACTTTTGGTTCAGATAACATTTCCGGTTTAAGTACCATTTTGGTCCCTCAACTTTTCACTTTGGCACCAAAATTATCCCTCAGCTTTAAAAAGTACTAAAATTATCCTCAGACTTTCATTTTCGGTACCAAAATGGTCTTTCCGTCAATTAAATGACAAGTGGCTCGTTAAAATGCCACAAAATCATTAGACTTTTTGAATCTTAATGACGTGTAAATTCAGCTAAGAAAATTTTGTTACCATGGCATTTTTTGTTGTACACGTGGCATATTATTTTACACATCATATTATCACCTTTTAAACTTTCCCTTTTAATGGAGCCGACATGACTTTTTTTAACTTTTCTTATTCTTTCTCTCTCTCTTCTCTTCCCCTCTTCTTCTTCCTTTCCAGATCTAGGTTTGATCAAACCCAGATCTGGGTTCTTTCAACCTAGTAAGGACAATTGATGGCATGTCCATTTCGGCCAAGTACTTGAACATCTCGAAGCTTTCACAGTATCGAAAAGAGATAAGGAAGTCATCAGCACTCTTCCTCTGTAAACCTCTTCTTCAATGGCATTTTTGCCACCGTCTTCAAGGTGGTATTCAGTTTCACCCTCTCAACTTCAACCCTCTATCATACTCAACCCGCATCTTCTCCTTTTCTTCACTTCTTCTTTTTCTTCTTCTTTTTCTTTGAAGCCTAAGAAATGCCTCTACAACCCCATTCAATTCCGTGTTTGAGCGTCTTCAAATGCTACTGCTGTGGAATCCACCAATGGCGCACTCTTTGCCTCTCGAAATGAGGATTCCACTTCATACGGAAGACAGTATTTTCCTTTAGCTACCGTCGTTGGCCAGGTTTTTTCTTCCTTTTTCTCAGTAGCTAACGCCAAACTTTGCTTCTTCCTTGGAACATCGCTTTGCATTTTGATTGAGACCATGGTTATTGTGACAGGATGCCATTAAAACTGCACTTTTGTTGGGAGCTATTGATCGCGAGATTGGAGGAATTGCTATATTAGGAAGGTGAGGAACAGCCAAGACAGTAATGGCACGCGATTGCATGCAATTTTGCCTCCCATTGATGTAGTTGTTGGTTCAATAGCAAATGCAGATCCATCCTGCCCTGATGAGTGAGACTCACTCTTTTCTTTTAGTATAGGATTTTTGTTATCATTGATGAAATTCATGGTACCAGATAGAAAATTTAGGATTTTTGTTATCATTTTGGACTGGGTTTTTCTAAGCTACCAACCTTGATTTTCTCTTTTTAAGCTTTCCTTTTTTTGGGTTTTTAACTTGTTTTTGAAATTGCATTCCATTTGAGAACCCAACGTAAAAGGAAAGGGATTTTTCATTTTTGTTTTTTTTTTTGGTTTTTGGTTTAGGAAAACTCAGATCTAGATTGAAAACCTAACAAATTTGATTTGGGATTAGAGAAAATTGAAGGATTTGTTAGATTATAACTAGATTCAAGAGTCAACATTAGATCCAACCGACGATTGAGTATGGTCGATTTCGAAGTAGACCCCGAGCACCATGACGGCAAAGGTAGCCAAAGTAGAGATTCCCCTTATCGCCACAGCAAAAGACACATTGCTGTCCTTAAGTCGAACTTGGTAGGATAAGAATAGAAACAGCTGGAGGTCCTTGAAATTCTTGAGAAGTAAGCTTTCGATCTCAATTTGGGTCAGGAGTCCTAACCAGTTCGGTTCCATCCTAGATCTGGGTTTTGTTGAAACCCAGATCTAGAGAGGAAGAAGAAGGGAGAAGAGAAAGAGAAAGAATAAAGAAGAAGGAAGCCTTATTCAATTTTGCAAAAAAGAAAATGTAGGTGAATAAACATTTATTCATTTTGTAAATTGAATAAAGAAGTGGGTTTTAATTTATGTGATGAAATCCAGATCTGGTTTTGAGAAAAACCTAGATTTGGGTTTAAGAGAGGAAGAAGGGAGAAGGGAGAGAGAAAGAATAAGAAGAAGAAGGAAGAAGGATGAGTAGGGAAGAGGAAAAGAGGAAGAAGATGAAGACTAAGAGAGAACCCAGATCTGGCTTTGCAGATGTATGGGAAAAGGTAAGGCAAAGGAGAGAGAAAGTGAAAGATGAAGATGAGATGACGTGGATGGAAAAAAAATCATTATTTTTAATTTAAAAAAATGCCAACTCATAAAATAAAATGACAACTATGTTTTTTCTTTTCCATGTCATTAGTTAAGCCAAAAAAAAAAAAAAATTGATTTGCTGGCAAGTTAACGTGACACCTGTCATTTAACTGACGGAAGGACCATTTTGCTACCAAAAATGAAAGTTCAAGGATAATTTTGGTACTTTTTAAAAGTGAGGGACAATTTTGGTACCAAAATGTAAAGTTGAGGGACCAAAATGGTACTTAAACCTAACATTTCCAGACTAATGCTGGTGCAAATATTATGGCCAGTGCACTTTTTTTATTTTTTATTTTTATTTTTGATGACACCTAGAACAATGTGTGATTAATTGTGTTCTTCCTTACCAATAGTATTTGAAGGGCTTGAATACCATATAATCCAAACTTAAAGCTAACAATGACAATCCAAAGGGTTTATGATTTCGTAACGGTGTGGCATAAGTATAACGTTAATAAACTTAACTCTACGTATTTAAGATTTTATAATGATGTTGCCTTACATCACAAAAAACCAATTTTAGGTGCTTGACTGATGGTGCCGGGGTTATGGGTGACTATAGTGGTGTAGTGCATGCACATGGTTTTGGTAGAAATGGAATCGAGGCTCGAGAAAGCCTAGTTGTCCTTAAATGAAAAGAATGAAAAAGTCTTAGAAGATAAGTTTCTAGATTCTGCAAAATATATTTGGACCATTGTTGGTTTAAAAAACTTTTCCAAACAAACAATGGTCCGAATATCATGCACAATATACTTTTTTAAAAAAAAAAATTTTTGCTTTACACCTTGAACCGTGCGCTATTTGTTATACTATCACTCTCAAACAACAACATCTAAATGCCTTGAAGACCTTAGAACCTATATTTAAATCCAAAGGGCTCGGGAAAGCCTAGTTGTCCTTAAACGAAAAGAATGAAAAAGTTTTAGAAGAGAAGTGTCTAGATTTTGTCGGTTTTAATAACCTTTCCAGACCATCAATGGTCCGAATATCATGCACAATTTACTTTTTTTTTTTTCTTCTTCACACCATAAATCGTCCCTGATCCATTACACTCTTACTCTAACAACAGCATCTAAAGGCCTTGAATAGCTTAGAACCTATATTTAAACTAACAGTAATAATACAAAGGGTTTATGGTTTCGTAACAGTGTGGCATAAGTATAAAGTTAATAATCTTAACTCATCGCATTTAAGATTTTACAATGATGTTGCCTTATGTCACGAAAAACCAATTTCAGGTGCTTGATTGATGGTGTCGAGGTTATGGGTGACTATTGTGGCTTAGTGCGTGCACATGGTTTCAGTAGAAATGGAATTGAGGCTCGAGAAAGCCTAGTTGTTTTTAAATGAAAAGAAAGAAAAAGTCTTAGAATAGAAGTTTTTAGATTTTGGTTGATTTATTCGGATCATTGTTGGTCCAAAAAACTTTTCCAAACCAACAGTGGTTCGAATATAATGCAGAGTTTACTTTTTCTTTTTTCTTTTCTCTTTTTTTTTTTTTTTTTTTTTTTTTTTTTGCTTTACACCTTGAACCGTGCACTACTCGTTGTGCTCTCACTCAAACAACATCTAAATGCCATGAATACCCTAGAACATATATTTAAATCCGAAGGGCTCGGGAAAGCCTATTTGTCCTTAGAAGAGAAGTTTTTAGATTTCTATTGATTTATTCAAACCACTGCTGGTCCGAATAACTTTTCCAAACAAATAATGGTCTGAATATCATGCACAATTTACTGTTTTTTTTTTTTATCCTTACACCTTAAATTGTGCCCGACCCGTTGCACCCTCACTTAATAGCACTTAAAAGTCTTGAATAGTTTAGAACCTATATTTAAAACTAACAATAACAATCCAAAGGTTTTATGGTTTCATAATGGTGTGGCATAAGTATAAAGTTAAAAAACTTCACTCCTTGCGTTTAAGATTTTACCATGATGTTGCCATATGTCATGAAAAACCAATTTCAGGTGCTTGACTAATGGTGTCGGGGTTATGGGTGACTATAGTGGTTCAGTGCGTGCATATGGCTTCACTAGATATGGAATCGGGGCTTGGGAAAGCCTAGTTGTCCTTAAATGAAAAGAATGAAAAAGTCTTAGAATAGAAGTTTCTAGATTTAGGGGGCTTTATTCGAACCACTAGTGGTCCAAATAACTTATCTAAATTGATAGTGGTTCGAATATCATGCACAGTTTACTTTTTTTTTTTTCTTTACACCTTAAACCATACTTGATCCATTATACTCTCACTCTAATAACAGCATATAAAGGCCTTGAATAGCTTAGAACCTATATTTAACTATAAATGTAGCAATCCAAATGGTTTATGGCTTTGTAACGGTGTGGCATAAGTATAAAGTTAATAAACTTAACTCCTCGTGTTTAAAATTTTACAATGATGTTGCCTTGCTTCATGAAAAACCAATTTTAGGTGCTTGATTGATGGTGCCGAGGTTATGGGTGACCATAGTGGTTCAGTGCGTGCACATGGGTTCGGTAGATATGGAATCGGGGCTCAGGAAAGCCTAGTTCTTTTTAAATGAAAAGAATGAAAAGGTCTTAAACTAAAAATTTCTAGATTCAGGGGGCTTTATTCGGACCACTAGTGGTCCAAATAACTTATCGAGATTGACAGTGGTCCGAATACCATGCACAGTTTACTTTTTTTTTTTTCTTCACACCTTAAATCGTCCTTGATCCATTATACTATCGCTCTAACAACAACATCTAAAGGCCTTGCATAGCTTAGAATCTATTTTTAATTATAAATGTAACTATCCAAAGGGTTTATGGTTTCGTAACAGTGTGGCATAAGTATAAAGTTAATAAACTTAATGCCTTGCGTTTAAGATTATACAATAATGTGGCCTTACGTCACAAAAAACAAATTTCAGGTGCTTGATTGATGGTGCCAGGTTATGGCTGACTATAGTGGTTTAGTGCGAGCACATGGCTTTGGAAGAAATGGAATCGGGGCTCGTTAAAGCCTAGTTGTCCTTAAATTAAAAGAATGAAAAAGTCTTAGAATAGAAGTTTTTTATTTTGGTTGATTTATTTGAAACACTGTTGGTTCGAAAAACTTTTCCAAACCAGCAGTGGTCCAAATATAATGCAGAGTTTACTTTTCTGTCTTTTTTTCTTTTTTTGCTTTCCACCTTGAACCGTGTGCTATTCATTGTACTCTCACTCAAATAACAACATCCAAATTCCTTGAATACCTTAGAACCCATATTTAAATCCAAAAGACTTGGGAAAGCCTAGTTGTTTTTAAACAAAGAGAATGCAAAAGTCTCAGAAGAGAAGTTTTTAGATTTTGGTTGATTTATTCAAACCACTACTAGTCCGAATAACTTTTCCAGACCAACAGTGGTCGGCATATCATGCACAATTTAATTTTTTTTCTTTACACCTTAAACAGTACCCAATCCGTTGTACTCTGACTTGAACAACAACATTTAAAGGCCTTGAATAGCTTAGAACCTATATTTAAAACAAACAATAACAATCCAAAGGGTTTATAGTTTCGTAACGGTGTGACATAAGTTTAAAGTTAATAATTTGAACTTCTCGCGTTTAAGATTTTACAATGATGTTGCCTTACATCATGAAAAACCAATTTCAATTGCTTGACTGATGGTGTCGGGGTTATGTGTGACTATAGTGGTTCGGTGCATGCACATGGCTTCGGTATATATGGAATCAGGGCTAGGGAAAACCTAGTTGTCCTTAAATGAAAAGAATGAAAAAGTCTTAGAATAAAAGTTTCTAAATTCATGGGCCATTATTTGGACCACTAGTGGTTCGAATATCATGCACAGTTTACCTTTTTTTTTGTTTTTTCTTCACACCTTAAACCATCCTTGATCCATTATACTCTCACTTTAACAACAGCATCTAAAGGCCTTGAATAACTTAGAACCTATATTTAATTATAAATGTAACAATCCAAAGGGTTTATAGTTTCGTAATGGTGTGGTATAAATATAAAGTTAATAAACTTAACCCTTCGTGTTTAAGATTTTACAATAATGTTGCCTTACATCACAAAAACCCTATTTCAGGTGCTTGACTGATGGTGCCGGGGTTATGGATGACTATAGTGGTTCAGTGCATGCACATGGCTTCAGTAGATATGGAATTGAGGCTCGAGAAAGCCTAGTTGTCTTTAAATGAAAAGAATAAAAAAGTATTCGAAGAGAAGTTCTAGATTCTACGGAATATATTCAGACCATTGTTGGTCCAAATAATGTTTCCAAACCAACACTAGTTCGTATATCATGCACA